TAGTTTAGTGTATAAGTAAAAGATATATTTATGCAAGAGGCCTTAAAAGACATCAGAAAAGATTAAAAACTTGTTTATAAAATAGTTATTTATAACAACTTTTTTATGTATCTTTGTCATTTTTTTTTAATCCTCACCCGAGGATATTTTTCCATTGATTTTCAAATGAAGTGGAAGGTAGGGCGGAGAGGTGTGGGGAGAGGGGAGAGAGAAAGAGAAACATTGTCATGAGAGAGATATATCGATTGTTGCCTCCTACACACACCCTGACCGGGTCTGGGGATTGAACTGCAACCCAGGTACCTGCTCGTGACCTGGAATCAAACCCGAGACCCTTTGGTCTGTGGGCCAACGCTCTGACCACTGAGCAGGGCATCTTTGTCATTTTTTATTTTATGATCCTTTTGAAACTACTGCATGGCAATAGTTCTTAAACCTGAGAATCTGACCAAAGCTGTGGATTCTTTTCCCAGAAAAATACCATTGAAATACTACGGTGGAAATGTCAAATTGGCAGGTAGTTAAATAGGTTTGAATCTCAGGGGAATAGTCTCTGATGGCGCTGTAGCTTTATGAGTTACAGGTGGTAGTGGATGGTAACTGACAACAGCCGATGCAACAATAGCCATCCAGTGTGAATGAATCAAAATTATACCTATTTTTTTGTCAGATTGGCAAAAAACATGTTTCTTGGTGTGCCTCAGAATTTTAGTAATTAGTTTATGTGTGCCATAAGATGAAAAAGGTTGAAAATTGCTGTGCTAGATAGATTAAATGACCTATACGCCATTGACCTTAGAGAGAGCTGTTTCAGTGGAACAATTCATAGGTCTTAAAGCCATACTGGAGTGGGTGAGGACATCAGGAAATAAAGACAGGGAGAAGGGGAGAGGCTGATTCCATCATTTATAGTAACTGCCTGTTATTAAGACCTAAGGTGCCAGTATTTGAAAAACAATGCTGATCTGCTTCCTTAACTCTTAGTTTAGTGGTATAAGGAATAATTGGCATAGGGAATTATAAGTGACTTAGCTTTCCTGTTGTCATTCACTTGATTCTACTTAAATTTCACCAATGAAAGCCTCAATTTCATTAATTATCTACAGAAAAATATTTTTTTATTTGCCTTTTTCACAAGATAAGTAGTTATTGAACTAAGCAAATATGAATGTCCTCAAAATACTTTGCTTTACTGGCTCTCTTTGGAATAAAATCTCTATGTAAGTAGATCCCGAGCCAAGAGCCCCTGTGACCTTTTAACTTTAGTACTCTTTTAGAGAGCAAGGCAACGTATATTTTCAAGTCAGTTGTGAATGAGCATGTGCCTGTTTTGACCTTTCTCCTACATCACCTTTCTCACATTCCTGTGTCACTGCCTTATATGTCTTTACTTCTTAATCTAACAAAAGGAACACCTTAATTCCCCTGGAGCAATTAGCCTGCTATTAATGGATAGCTCAAAATTTTCAGCAGTCAATGATTTATTAAGAGTGTGAATTGATTTCATACTGCTGTTCAGAAAATAGTAACTCATTTGTTTCAAAGTAATTTTTAGAAACTAAAATTATCAGCATATGTTTATAAGTTCTAGTCCTGAGTTAGTCCTATTTCTTTTTTTTTTTAATATATTTTATTGATTTTTTACAGAGAGGAAGGGAGAGAGAGAGAGAAACATCGATGAGAGAGAAACATCGATCAGCTGCCTCCTGCACATCTCCTACTGGGGATGTGCCCGCAACCCAGGTACATGCCCTTGACCGGAATCAAACCTGGGACCTTTCAGTCCGCAGGCCGACGCTCTATCCACCGAGCCAAACCGGTTTCGGCCTATTTCTTAACAAAAGCTCTTTACTTAGGTTTCTTATGAATCAATGAGCTACTCACTTCCTCTCTACTTGTAGGTGATTTTAAAAATAAGTGTAAATGATATTCAAGAAACTGCACATATTTAAAGTATAAACTTAGATATTTTGACATATATATACATGAAACCACTACCATAATCAAGATAGTGAAAATATCCATCATCCTCAAAAGTTTCCTCATGCCCATGATAGCCCCTCTTTCCGGCCCCTCTCTGACCTCTCCTCCCCTGGACCACTGGTTTGCTTTAGGTCACTATAGATTAGTTTGCATTTTCTAGAATCATACTGTGTGTGTGTGTGTGTGTGTGTGTGTGTGTGTGTGTGTGTGTGTGTAAAAGGCATATATGCAAAGTGTCCCCTCAGGAGTTCGACTGGCAAACTGGGAGTTCGATGGCTCGCTATGACATGTGCAGACCACCAGGGGGTGGCACGGAATGAAGGAAGGCCCTGGCCAGCAGCCAGGGCAGGAAGGCCCCGATTGGCCCTGATCACTGGCCAGGCCTAGGGACCTAACCCATGCACGCATTTCGTGCACCCGGCCTTCAGTACATACACACACACACACACACACACACACACACACACACACACACGTTCTTGTGGCCAGCTCCAATTATTCCACATTATTATTTTGAGATTCATCCTTATTGTGTGTATAAAGAGTTCATTCCCTTTTGCTATTGAATAGTATTCCATTGTATGGATACCACAATTTGTTTATTCATTCATGGGTTGATGGACATTTGAGTTGTTTCCAGTTTTTTGCTATTACAAATAAACAATCATGTACAAGTCTTTCAAAATATGTTACCTTTTCTCTTAGGCAAATAACCTGGGAGTGGAAAGTCTGATCATATGATAGGTATAAATTTCATTTTTTTTTTAAAGAAACTGTCAAACTGTTTTTCAAAGTGGTTATACCATTTTATATTACCACCAGCAGTGTAAGAGAATTCAAGTTTCCTTACATCTTCACCAAGACTTCATATGGTCAGTCCTTTTTATTTTAGCTATTTGAATATAGGTGTGTAGTGGTATCTTATTATGGCTTAGTTTGCATTTCCCGAATGACTAAAGTTCTTGAGCATCTTTTCAATTGTATATTGTTTTTTTGTTGAAATTTCTGTTCAAATCCAAATTTTTAAGTTAGTTGTCTTCTTATTGTTGAGTTTTAAGAGCTTTTAAATTAATTTGGATGTAAGTCCATTATCCAATATACGCTTTGCAAAAATTTTCTCCCAGTCTGTGATGTGTCTTTTCATTAAGAAAAAAAATGTTTTTATTGATTTCAGAGAGAGAAAGAGAAAGGGAGAGAGAGAGAAACATTGATCAGCTGCCTCCTGCATGCCCCCTCCTGGAGATTGAGCCCACAACCCGGGTACGTGCCCTGACTGGGAATCGAACTGGTGACCACCTGGTTTATGGGACGACGCTCAACCAGTTGAGCCACACTGGCCAGGCTTCAGTGTATTTTTCATCTCAAAAGTTGTAGTTTTATTGAGATGTTTGATTTCATTTTTTCATATCTTAACTTTTGAATATATAGAATATAGTTGTAATAACTGTTTTAATGTTCTTATGTGCTAATTCTAATAACTGTTAGTTTTGCATTGGTTTTGATTGCTTGATTATTCTCTTCATTATGAGTTGTGATTGCCTTCTTTTTTGCATGCCGGGTAATCTTTGATTAGATGTCCATCATTATGAATTTTATTTTGTTGGTTGCTGGATATCTTTATATTCTTATGCATTTTCCTGAGCTTTGTTTTCAGATGCAGTTAAGTTACTTTGGGGCTTTGTTTTTACAGTTTGTTAGGTGTGTTTGGAGCAGTGCTCGGTCTAGGACTAATTATTATTCCCCTCAACTGACATAGATCTTCCTGAAAACCATCCAGTGCCTGTGCATGATGAGGTTTTTAAGTGTGACTGGCGGAACAGGCACTGTTCCCTGCTCTGTGTGAGCACGAGGCACTGTTCCCTGATATCCTTTAGATGGCTGTCCCTCACCTCAGGTCCTTCCTCGCATGCATGCACAGTAGTCTGCTGGGTGTTAGAAGGAGCCCCTCTGTAGATCTCTGAGTCCTCTCTCTGAGCAGCTCTCTCTTCTCTGCTATTCTGTCCTGTGAACTCTGGTTGCCTTTGTGTCCCTGGACTTTCACCTTCATCTCCTCAGCTCAGGGAATCCACTACATTCTACCTCAACTGCTTTGGCCTGTAGTGCTGCCTGGAAACTTTGCAGTCAGTAAGCTTGGGCAGTTACAGGGCTCACCTCATCTGTCAAGGATCATTGTCTTTCGTTGCCTGATGTCCAGAATTTTTTAAAACAATCGTTTTTTGTATTTTGTCTAGTTGTTTGGTTTGTTTGTTTATTTATGTACTAGAGGTCTGATGCACGAAATTGGTGCAAGGGGCTGGGCCCTCGCCACCACGGAGGCCACCTCCTCTGCCTTGGCCCCCGGCTGCCACAGCAGCGCCTCAGCCCCCACCCGCCACCACCTTGGCCCTCGCAGCCCCAGCTTCATCTGGAAGGTCTTCCGGAAGGACATCCAGTCTAATTAGCCTGTTACGCTTTTATTATTATAGATTTGGTTGTGTAGGGTGGCAGGGCAGGCCTGGTTTCTGGACCCTGTTACTCCATTTTTGCCAAAAACAGAAGTCCTGTCTACTTGTAGTTTTAATCTGAGAAAGCTCTTGTACTTGGATTCTTATAGACAAACTAGAGGCCTGGTGCATGAATTCATGCACGGGTGGGGTCCGGCTGGCCCACCCCAATCGGGGCCCATTGGACCAGGCCAGCCGAGAGGAGGGGCCATGGGTGGCTGGCCTGCCAGCCCTGCCCCCTGGTCCAACTCCCAGTTGAACTCCTGGTTGAGGGGACAATTTGCATATTAGCCCTTTATTATATAGGATTCTTGATAGTAACCTCTCATTTCCATCTGAGAGGCTCTCTCTATATACATGAGCTGTAGGGTAAGCTCAGATGAGCCAGCAGGAGTTTTGGAAGCTGTTTTAGGGTGTTAAACTCATTTTCTGACTCCCTTAATTCTGGGAATTTCCTGAGTTATTTGGACCTAGAAGCTAATTCTAAATAATGATTTTATAAAATTCCTAACCATGTTATGATTTTATTCTCAGAATTAAGAGAAAGAAAGAGCAGCAACGTTATGCTGAAGAGCAGAGGATATTAAAAATGAACTTTCATGAAGAGCCATATTCAGGGGAGAAGATGAGTGAGATGTTAGCGCAGCTACAGCTCGAGGAAATGAAAGAAGCCAGAGAAAAACAGCAACGAAGAGAAAGGGAATGCCAAAGGTACTTTCAAAATCCTTGCATGGAATTCTGGATCTAGAAGAGACTTTGGGAAGTCAGTGTTCTTCTTTTCCTTACAAGAGTTGCCTATGTCTTTTCATACAACTTCACCAAGTGCCTCTTGGGAATAGCACTATGTATTCCTATTTCTCAATACAAAGAGGAAGAGTGGAGCACAGAGGTGCAGAATAGTTTTAACAGTTAAAGCTGGTAGTAAAATGGGGACTCGTGCTCATTCTCTTTCTAGTGGTTCACTGATCATACTGTGTTTCTATAGGTATCTAGAAGCTTTAAGGGTCCAGATCCAAGAGAAAATGCGGCTGTATAATATTACTTTACCTCCACTATGCGGCTGTGGTCCTGACTTTTGGGATGCTCATCCTAATACCTGTGCCAACAATTGTATTTTCTATAAAAACCACAGAGGTAAGTTTCTTAAAGGAACGGTTAGGGCCAGGTGGCAATTTTTTAAAAAGTAGTGATGGTAGTAATTTAGCATTTATTGAGTGCTTACTATATATCAGAGGCTGTTACAACCCCTTTATAAAACCACTCCGAGGCAATAAAAATAGATGATAGTGAGTTCTATTTCTCTTTGAGATCTATTATCATCCTTTCTCCATTTATGCTGGGGAAATGGTTCCAGCTTACTCTACTGTAGGTTCCAGGTTCTTCTGTAAATGAAGAATGTTAGTTTGCCTTTATGGCCATTAAGTTAGGCCTCTGTCTAGTTGAATTCCCTGTTATCCAAAGACTTTAATGTTATCTAACGCAGATTTATGACCATGTGTATCCACGTTAGACTGCCAGTTCTGCCAGGGAATCCTGAGGAAAATGAGGACCAGTGTAAACTCTGTCTTTATCAGGAATCCCAGCTGGAGAAAATGGAGCCCTTTCTATTGTCACTAATGTTTCTGTTTCCTGTCCATCCTTAAATATATTGGTTTACATACTGTGATGATTATGTAGGCTTGATGCACGCACTGAAACTACTGCAAGTATATACATTCCTAGTGCATCTGTATGATAGAAGTTTCTTATCAGTTCTGTGAGTTATATTTACAAAACACAGATCGATGCCTGGCTGGGGTGGCTCCAGTGGTTGAGCATCAACCTAGGAACCAGGAGGTCAGTGTTTGATTCCTGATCCTGGCACATGCCTGGGATGCGGGCTTGATCCCCAGTGTGGGGCGTGCAGGAGGCAGCCTATCTGTGAGTCTCTCTCATCATTGATGTTTCTATTTCTCTTTCCCTCGCCCTTCCTCTCTGAAATCAATAAAAATGAAAACCCCACAGATCTGATGATGCCATTCCCTAGGAACCAGGAGGTCAGTGTTTGATTCCTGATCCTGGCACATGCCTGGGATGCGGGCTTGATCCCCAGTGTGGGGCGTGCAGGAGGCAGCCTATCTGTGAGTCTCTCTCATCATTGATGTTTCTATTTCTCTTTCCCTCTCCCTTCCTCTCTGAAATCAATAAAAATGAAAACCCTACAGATCTGATGATGCCATTGCCCTATTCTCAAATCTCTAGGTTTTTACATTTGGTATATTTTCTCTCTGGCCCCAGGCAAAACTCTCTAGCTTTATCAAACTTGCTATTGTTACACACCAATACATGTCACATGTTTTGTTATACCTTTGGAACCTCACACGTTGATTCCCTGCCTAGAATGCCTTCTTTCCTTTACTCTTATTAAACCTTCAGACCATCTAAAATGTCCACTTCTGGTAATCTTTTCCATCCTCTCTTAGATAGTTTTAATTCATTCCAAACTTCATTATGTGGTGACATTTCGTGTATGTCTCTGGATTGGAATTATTGCACTGCAATTATTTTTGTCCATCCTCTCCATTCTCTTTTCTATCCCCATGGTGAGTTTGGCATGTAGTAAGTACTCAATAAATATTTACTCAATAGGTAAAGTTAATACCTATGAGACTGGGTGGAGAAGCAGTAGTAATAGGAAAGAGGTTGGGAGAGTTGTTTACAATGTGACTTCATTCATCATGGTTCAAACCTTTATTTGCAGCATATACCCGGGCACTATATTCAGTCATCAATTCCTGTGATAGAGGGACCTTGATTCTTCGAGCTGCCATTCATAATTTTGTTTCTGCCTACAGACGGACTTTGAAAAATGTATATTCAGAATCTGAAATCAACTGTTAGTATTTCAGCCTTCACTTAAAATCAATTCTCTGAGAGATTGTTTAGGAAAAACTGTTAAAGTGTATAATCTGGAAAGGAAGACTGTCCCACGTAACAACAGTCTCTGCAATTACATTGGAACCATTGTTTCAGTCTCCATCTTGGGACCACGATGGAAAGTTGACTTCCACACTTGCCTCTTTGCTGTGAACCATGTGGAGTTTATTGTTTTAAAAATGATCAGTCAGACCAGTAAGGTTTATCTTACTTTGCTCTGTTCTGATCTGAAGAGATCATGAGAAATCTTTGAGATTACCGTGTTTGTTGTCTTTCTAAAACTGTATCTTTGAGTCTTAACAAAATTGGAAATGTCTGGAAGAAGCAGAAAAGAAAGATGATGAAATGAGTTTCCAACCATCAGTGGCCATCTAGATTCCTGCTAGCTTTTCTAGTTGTGTATAACAATTAGAGATGAGGAGGATTTGAATTTGATGCACTTTTTTTCTAAAAATTTCTTTGGGGGTGTTTTGGTGTGTGTGTGTGTGTGTGTGTGTGTGTGTGTGTGTGTGTGTGTGTTTTATTACCTCTTTCCCCGTTCAGTGAATTGGGCATAAACCTTTTTAATTTTATAATTTTCATTGCCAAAAAAGGGAAAATAAACCCTCTGTCTTTTGAGCATCTTCTTTGTGAAATAATTGTGTGACATTTCAAAAGTGCGTCTGAAGTCAAAGTGAGTAAAATCCTGCCTCAGTTCCCAATCTTTTAAAAAATTGCTGAATGGCATACCTACAGAACAGATGAAATAAAAATTCCTATAGCTAGTATTAATTTGTTATTTCTTTTTTAAAAAATATATATTTTATTGATTTCAGAGAGGAAAGGACAGGGAGAGAGAGAAACATCAATGATGAGAGAGAATCATTGATCGGCTGCCGTCTGCACACCCCACACTGGGGATTGAGCTCGCAACGCAGACATGTGCCCTTGACTAGAATCAAACCTGGGACCCTTCAGTCCGCAGGTCAGCGCTCTATCCATTGAGCCAAACCAGCTAGGGCGATTTGTTATTTCTTTATAATGCTTTTTGACATAAAATATGAAAAGGTTTAATATTGTCAATTAAGAGCATACTGGCAGTTTCTTTTTCATACTTTCTCTAATGATCATTGTTGAAGAGCATTTAGGTTATGTCTCAAAAACACCTAAACATCTAGCCAGGTCATGGAAAATAAGGATCAAAATGATCTGTGTGACAAAATTTATTGGTTATTTAACTAGATTCATCGTCCAGTTCAGTCAAAATCCTTAAGTAACAATATCCTTGATTCAGCCTTTAAGAGTTGTATTTTTTAACAGCTTTATTGAGATATAATTCATAGGCCATATGATTCACCCTTCTGAAGTATACAATTCAGTGGTTTTAAGTATATTCTAGAGTTGTTGCAACTATTACCATTATCAAATTTTAGAACACGTTTGTCACTCTAAAGAGATGCCTCCATGATCCAGCAATCCTACTTCTGGGTCTATATCCAAAAGAATTGAAAACAGGGTCTTGAAGAGATATTTGCACGCCCATCTTCATTGCAGCACGAATTCACAATAGCCAAGAGGTGGAAGTAACCCAAATGTCCATCTACAGGTGAGTGGATAAACAGAACATGGTATAGACATAAAATGGAATAATATATTCTTCAGCCTTAAAAAAGAAAGAAATTCTGTCACATGCTATAATATGGATGAGCTTTAAGGAACCATAACCTAAGTGAAGTAAGCCAATCACCAAAAGACAAGTACTGTATGATTACATTTATATGAGGCACCTAGAGTGCTACAATTCATAGAGACAAAAATTAGAATGGTCATACCCAGGAGCTGGTGGGAGGGGAAATGGGAAGTTGTTTAATGGGTAGTTTCAGTTTTGCAAGATGAATAAGTTGTGGAGATCTGTTTCGCAACAATATTTTGATTAGGAAGTAAGGCAAGGGGTTTTTATGAGAAAGGGAAGGGGAATAATTACGTTAATAGAAGGAAACAATTATTGTGGGTGTTAATCTAAGAAATTGCTAAAGGTGCCAATAAGCTACCATAGTGGTGATAATTCTAAAGAATGTTTTTAATTTTCAGTTCAGTAGTCATAACAATTATGAACAACTGTAAACCTACTTTTGTCCCACCCTGTACAGCCAGAAGTGGAATTGCTGGGTCTTAAAGACAGTTCCATTTTTTATTTTTTAAGGAACCTCTTTACTGTTTTTCATAGTGGCTGCACCTGTCTGCATTCCCACCAGCAGTGCACAAAGGTTCCCTTTTCTCCACATCTTTGCTAACACTTGTTTATTGATTTATTGATGATAGCCATTCTGACAGGTATGAGGGGATATCTCATTATGGTTTTACTTAGCATTTCCCTGATGATTAGTGACCTTGAGCATCTTTTCATATAGCTATTGGCCATCTGTCTGTCCTTTTTGGAGAACTGTCTATTCAGTTTCTCTGCTCATTTTTTAATTGGATTTTTGTGTTTGAGTTTTTTATAAGTTTTGGATATAAACCCCTTATTGGATGTATCATTGTCAAATATCTCCTTCCATTCAGTAGGCTTTCTTTACGTTTTGTTGATGGTTTCCTTTGCTGTGCAAGGTTTTTTAGTTTGATGTAGTCCCATTTGTTTATTTTTTCCTGTTGTTTCTTGCCCAAGGAGATATGTCAGGAAAATATTACTAAGAGAAATGTCCGAGATTTAACTGTTTATGTTTTCTTTAAGGAGTTTTATGCTTTCAAGTCTTACATTTAAGTCTTTAATCCATTTTGAGTTTATTCTTGTATACAGTATTAGAAGATGGTCTAGTTTCAGGGGTTTTTTTGCATATATTTGTTCAATTTTCTCAATGCTATTTATTGAATAGGCTGTCTTTACTTCATACTAGGTTCTTCCCTTCTTTGTCAAATATTAATTGATCATAAAGGTGTGGGTTTATTTCTGGGCTCTCTATTCAGTTCCATTGATCTATATGTCTGTTTTTATGCCAGTACCATGCTGTTTTGAGTACTGTATCCTTGTAGTATAATTTGATATCAGATAGTGTGATACCTCCAACTTTGTTCTTTCTCAAGATTGCTATGGCTATTCATACTTTTGGTTTTACATAAATTTTGGATTATTTGTTCCAGTTCTGTGAAAAAGGCTATTGACATTTTGATAGGAATTGCATTGAGTGTGCAGATTGCTTTGGGTAGTGTGAACATTTTAATGATGCTAACACTTCCATTTATTTTCTTCAGTTTCTTTCTTCAGTATCTTATAATTTTCCAAGTATAGTCTTTTACTTCCGTGGTTAAATTTATTAGCAGGTATTTTATTTTATTGGTGCAATTGTAAATGGAATTGTTTTCTTAGTTTCCCTTTCTGATAGTTCATTATTAGTGTTTAAAAATGCAACTAATTTCTGAATATTTATTTTGCATCCTGCTACTTTGTGTAATTCATTGGTCAGTTCTAGTAGTGTTTTGGTGGAATCGTTAAGGTTTTCTCTATATAGTACATGTCATCTGCCAATAATGACAGTTTTACTTCTTTCTTTCCAATTTGGAGGACTTTTATTTATTATTCTTGTCTGATTGCTGTGACTAGGTCTTCCCGTACCATGCTTAATAAGAGTGGTGAAACTGGATATTCCTGTCTGGTTCCTGATCTTCAAGGAAACGTTTTAAGATTTTGATGGTTGAATATGATGTTAACTATAGGTTATTATATATGGCCTGTATTACTATGTTGAGATGTACTCTTTCTATTCCCACTTTGCTGAGAGTTTTTTTCATAAATTGGTACTGGATTATGTCAATAGATACTTTTCCTGCGTCTATTGCTGTAAGCATATGATTTTTTTTTTAATCCTCAATTTTTCCATTGATTTTAGAGAGAGTGGAAGAGATAGGGAAAGACAGAGAGAAATATCGATGTGAAAGAAACACATCAATTGGTTGCCTCCTGCACGCACCATGACCAGGGCCTGGGTTGGGGAGGAGCCTGCAACCGAGGTACATGCCCTTGACAGAAATTGAACCTGGGACCCTTCGGTCGCAAGCTGATGCTCTATCCACTGAGCCAAACCTGAAACTGTGTGCCTCTTACTGGACGTATGATCATATGATTTTTAGCCTTCATTTTGTTTATGTGGTCTGTCATGTTAATTGATTTGGGGATATTATATCAATCTTGCATCTCAGGAATAAATCCTACTTGATCATGGTGTAATGTTTTTGCTGAATTCAGTTTGCTAATATTTTATTGAGAAATTTTGCATCTATATTCATAAGGAATATTGGCCTATAATTTTCTCTGTAGTGTCTTTATCTGGTTTTATAATTCGGCTAATGCTGGCCTTGTAAAGTGAGCTTGGGAGCCCTGGCCAGTGTAGCTCGGTTAATTGGGCATCATCCCGTTCACCAAAGGGTTGCTGATTCAATTCCCAGTCAGGGCACATGCCCAGGTTGTGGGCTCAATCCCCAGGGGCGGCATGTGGTATGTAGCCGATCATTGTTTCTCTCCCTTCCTCTCTCTCTCAAAATCTAGTGATAGGTTTTACTGTGGACAGTGAGGTAAGGGTCGGACAAGTTCATTCTGACTTCAGCACTGATCTTGTCAGAGCAGATCCAAGTTCAGGAAGTCACGGTGGAGTAGGAGGGCAGAACAGAAGAATGGAGGAAAGTATGGGCATACGTCCAGTAAGAGGCACACAGCTCCAGAAAAGCTTGGCTGTGCCGTTCCCCAGAGGGACTTTATCACTTACAGGATCCAGGCTAGGAGATGGAACATATATGTGATAGAAGTAATGCCAGAATGTGGTGGTGGCAGAGGATATTCATGTACTAGTTTTCCTGCAACAACAAAAATCAGAAAGCTGATGCACAACATATTTTCCTGCACATTCCAACCTAAACAGCTTGCACAAATTGCTCTAATTTAGTCAACTCTGTCCTCTCCCTTGCATTGTTCCAGTTTATTACTTAATTGTCCAGGCCTCACCCTTGCCTTTTATGATGGGCAAGAATAAGATTGCCAACTTTTATTTTTGAAGAGAGAGAGAAAGAGAGAGAGAGAGAGAGAGAGAGAGAGAGAGAGAGAGAGAGAGAGAGAGAAACATCCATGCACCCTGACTACAACCTTTTGGTGCATTGGGCAATGGCTCCAACCCACTGAACCACACTGGCCAGGTTGATTGCCAACTTTTTTTACTACCCACTGGGTGAAGAGTCTAGAAACTGCTGCTTTTATGTTTTCTAACCATGTAAGGTGTGATAAAGGAGGTAGCAGTTATTACTTTTCTGTGTTTATTTATATAGATTCTGGTTTGGGAAGCAAAATATTTCTTTTAGTTTTCCTCTAAGTGTAGTGAGCATAATTTATTTTCTTTGTGTCCCATTTTGGGTATTTTTTTCATGCTTCTCAGAAAAAAGATTTGGAAGATTGGAAATATTATCGAAGATAAAAGCAAATGTGTTCCTGGCATGTTAGGCCCACTCTTCTGGGTGAAAGACTTTGAATATGTTGACTTAGATTTTTAAAGCTCTCTTAAAGTATAAATGAGTGGTCTATCTCCGGTCTTGTTCTCAGTATTACTGATCACTATTAGAGAGGTATGCCAAGGAGAAGTCAAATTGATCCCTTTTGTTTAAGACAGTTTGGTGTTGTATTGCTTGGGTCATCATTCCTTCCAGGCTCCCAAGATGAGATCATCCTTGGTAGAAGTTAACACTCAACTCTTGCCTTAGGTTCCTTTCTCACCCCCCA